AATAGAATGTCTTTACTTTACTAAACCCATGTCACGACACCAGGCATGGAAATAGTTTAGTGTGTAAGTACAAATGTAAATATCAGAAGTTACAGGAGCTTCCGTTTGCATCAGCCTCGTCTTTAAGTCATCTGCCTCACGTGTGAATGTGTCTCCGAACTGTTACACCAGCTTGTAAATTTAACATCTCCCAAAGGAGGTTACAGGCACTCAACTGTCTGTTGGAAAATACATTTAGTGTAAAACCCCACCAATTACATACTTAATGCTGTGCTATATAGGGGCGGCTGTGTGTGTGTCTGTGTGTGTGTCTGTGTGTGTGTGTGTGGGGGGGGGGGTTGCTATGTGAGCACATCGCAGTAGGTCAGGGTGTTTGTGTGTATAGGTGTCAACAATCTACCCTCTTAGATTTCGGCCTCTGGATCGTAGCAGCTAATGCAGATGCCGAGTTTCTTCACTATGCTATGTGGGGTGTCAGCTAACATTTGCTAACGTTGCTAGTCCACACTAATTATAGCTGTTTCGCAGCACTAAATGTCGGGGGGGGACAGTGGGCCCCAGAGCAGAGACACAGGTCGGCTGACAGTGGAAGAAATGTTGCAGAGGAGCTGAAGTTTTCCTTTTCAACCTGAATGCTTTGTTAGTCCAGTGGTTCTTAAACTTTTGAACTTAAAGGACCCCTTAACTGACACTGATTAGACCACTGACCCTCACTGACCAGATTCATTTGAGGGTTTTATAACAGGGAAACACATTCCTTTGACCATGGTCGTCAGTGCTGCGGAGTGATAAAACTACATTAGCAGTTAGATCTCAGTGATACATACACAATGTGTTTTAGTGAGTAAAAGGGACTGTAAACAAAATGTTTCTTAGATGCCAAGAAACCTCCAGAGGGACACCTTTAAGTTTCAGGAAATATTGAGTAAATCTAGTCCTGTATAGCAGGAAATAAATAATACCACAGATACCTGACAGAAAAGTCCCAATCAATCAGTGTGATGGAAATGAATGTGAAAACTGGGTCCAGGTCAAAAATTATGGAGGACCAAAAGTGACTTATTTATTTCTGTATTTCTGTGTCCATATGCTAATGAGAAAGGCGGTCCTAACCTCGATCTCATGCAGGATTGGTCACAGGAGCGTGATGATCCAGTTCTACTACTTCTTCCTGTCAATGCTGAATGTTGTGCAGRAGTTGCTGTTTGCAGTGTTGTGTCAGTTCACACTAAAAAAGAACTAGTTCACGTTCATAGTTCATTTTTATTAGGAGGATTTAGTAACAAACTTAAGATCATGTGTTGAGTTCTTAGTCGATGGTGTCTGATCATGTCTCCGTGTCGCTCCGGTTATTTTAACACTGAGTCCTGACTGTGAGCGTCGCATCTCATGTTGTACTGAGCACAACATGTTGACGAGTCATGTTTCATGATGTTTAAATGCAGCCTCATAAACTCTGGAATCAAACAAACTCTACTTCATGTACTGAAATGTCCTGATAACTAGTGATGAGTGTTTATTAGTTATAGTGAGAGCAGGTCAGAGTGGAGGAGGAAACAGAAACTCCAGCTCGATAGAAACCAACTGCAGCTTCTGCTCTGATCATGAAGCTGCTGATCACTGAGCAGATGTGACCAGAGAAACTCTGTGTTTATTTATTTATTTCCTTATTTA